AGGCCAAGCAACGAAAGATCACCGTTCTACCTCTTTTTTGATAGAAAGAATTAGTATTGCTATTCAACGTGGCAATGCTGCTTCAGTACTTGGAACTATTCCTCCTTCACATAATTTTGATGAGATCATGCATTGCCCTAATTTCAGTACGGAACTGAAATCTCTTCGAAACAAGCCGAGATATGTGGATATTCATCAGTTTCCTAATTCCTAATTCACAAGTGATTGTTCCACCGTCTTCTTTTTCAGTGCGGTCAATGGACTTAGGTCATTCTTGCCCCCCAAATATGAGTTGCAGTCCTCGTAGTTCTGGTTCCCTTTCATTGGAAGAGCTTCATGAAGCAAGATCCGAATGGAACCCTCTACGAAAGCCTTCTTCACTTGGAAGGATCGATCGCAGCTTGAGAAATGGTTCTTATGGAGATTCTGTGAAAAATGTTTTTCCTTACGAATCAGTAGAGAGTTGTCTTGGAAATCTAGAGAAGAAAATTGGATTGGATGATTTAGGAAATACTTGCTACATGAATAGCTTTTTACAAGTGTTGTTCATGACGAAGAATTTCAAGAACGAAGTTTTAATGATGAACGAGAACGGGAATGTTTCCTACTTATTCATCAAACTGTTATCCTGTGACTAAGAGGCTTGCCTGGGATACAAAATAGGTAACCTTGCCCGGGAATATTTTGAATATCTTACAGAATAACCTATATCAAACAAATGAAAACATTGTTATTTCAACTTAGTCCATTCGAATAAAAGCTGGTCTTCGCTAACGTTTTTTTCAATTATTTGTTCAATTTGTTAGAAATATCAAACTTGGAGAAAAACTGTGACCTACAATGATTTTTCGACAAATATCAAAATATCAATCAAGAAACCCTATGTGATTGATGCCTTTGGAATTATCAACACCTTAATCTATTGCTGCTGACGAAGACACCTTAATTAAAATCGGTGGAAAAACTTTTGTGTAACTATTAAAAGAAAAAGAGACACTCTGTATAATGAAGAAAATATACTAAGAAACCGAGCATCACAAATGGAACAGTGTTTTTTAAATATCCCTGAATGATACTATCTCGAGATATCTCGTATAATAAACGAGGCAAAAATAGAAATAC